AAAAAAAAAAAACGGCTGCCAGAAGCAACGCTTCCAAACTGAACAGACTTGTCTTTAAATAGTAAAACAACACACTACCATTCAAAAATTTCAGGGCAGTAAGATTTTTAAAAATGTTTCTAAAAGAAGTATCTTATGCTCATCAAGACAGCATTTATTTGATCAATAAGGCAACAACAGTAATACTGTCAAACATTATTACAATTTAAAACAACTCTTTTCTATTTTTATATATTTTAAAATGTAATTTATTCCTGTGATGGCAAAGCTGAATTTTCAGCATCATTACTCCAGTCTTCAGTGTCACATGATCCTTCAGAAATCATTCTAATATGCTGATTTAGTGCTCAAAAACACTTCTTAAAATTTAAGAAGTGCATTAAACATTATATTACTCAAGGTTTCCCAAACTGGGTGTGTACTGCAGGGGGTTTATGAGTTTAATGAAAAGCTATTAATTAATTAAATCATAAAAATGTTAAATTAAAACAAATCATTTTCAAATGAATCAAAATAAAACACTTAGGCTACTGAAAAAAAGATAAATATTTTATTTGTTTAGCCTACCTGCATGTCATATGACCATAACCAACTTCAGAGAACCATGAACATGCAAATGTAATACTTCATTATTAAAAGCTTTATTTTAAAATCTCAGGGGTACTTCAAATAAAAATATATTCAGTGAAAGATAACAAAAAGTTGGTGAATTTGTGCATGTTAATGTGTTTGAAAGACAAACGCCTTCCAAAGTAATACACGGTAAAATAAATTATATAAAAAAAAAAAAAAAATGTGTTCATCAGTAGATGCAATGTTGAAACACTTCTTAAAGGGGTCATATGATGCTATTTCAATTTTTCCTTTCTCTTTGGAGTGTTACAAGCTGTTCGTTAATAGATAAGATATTTTCGCTTTCACAATGAAACACACAGCGTCACACACGGCGGGCTCGAGTGAGCAGAGGCCGGGGGTTAGAGTGAGTGGAGGCGGGCGGGCTTGCGGCAACCACATTTGATGACCCCGGGCTGGACTCCGCTTCGTCCACGGTGAAAGCCGATCCGGCGATCGGCAGCGCGAAGTTGATGTATTTCCTCAGCAACCAGCACGGATATGCTCTAGGCAAGACGAAGCAGATATCGTCCTCTTTTGGAAGGCCAAACAAAGTAGATCATATGACCCCTTTAAAGGATGAAAGAGCAATTAGGGAGAATCAATAAATTATGAATAAATTATTGTTATTGTGTAAATAATATGTAATCCATAAAAAAGTAACTGTAGTGTGATTATGAGTATTTTAAAATGTAATTTAATCTAATTGAAATCTTTTATAATATTATACAAATCTTTATTGATACTTTTGATCAATTTAATGCACTCTTACTGAATAAAAGCATTAAATTCTTTTTTTTAAATCTAATTGACCGTTTGAACCGTCTTATGTATGTAATAATTGGTGTTATGTTAAAGGGGTCCTATTATGCTTTTTCACTTTTTCAACTTTAGTTAGTCTGTAATGTTGCTGTTTGAGCATGTTGTAGGAAAATTAATGTTTTACTCTTTCTTATTTACTTTCTTAGACATTGTGTGGGGTTAGTCATAAATAAAGACCTTTGACCTCACGGGTGTGAAGGCACACAAACACACAGTAAAAACAAATGATCAGAAAGAGCCTTTGAACTCTTTAGTGCAGGAAAGACAGAGGGGTTGTTGACCTCACAGATGTGAAGATAATAAAAGCCCAGGGGGTTAGAAGGACCATTGTTTTTTCTGAAAACAGCTAGGTTTGGTTTACGGGGTTAAGTGGAAATTTACAGAGAAGGAACCTTGTAAGAAGTGGGGGGTGATAACAGTATAATAAGGCTGTCTGTTTTCAGTGTGATTTTAGGTCTGTTGTGTTTCAGGGTAGCTGCTGAAACATTGTGAACATACCTCTTTAAGGAAAATAAACTTCTTTCCTTAAATATAATTTGATTCCTTGTCTCTTACACTGTGATGCTATTTGTTAATAATTGTTTTTGCCACAACAATTTGGTGTCAGAAAGCGGGATCTCACGGCGGTTTCTTCTGGTCCTGAGCGGATTTGACGAAGTGATCATCTCAGAGCACCAGGCTCTGGTCTTACCTCGAAAATTGAGAGAGAAGAGCCAAAACTGCTTTCAGGGCCAGAGTGACTCGGCTGAGATCAGAAAGAACCCGGTGGCAGTAAAAGCATCTCGGGTAAGAGACTGTAAATTGTTTATTTTGTGTGGTGTAATTCGATATGACTGTGAGTGAACCATAGTGGCTGAGACTATCTCTTTGGTGCGAGCAGAGAAGGTTTTCGAGGGGTAAATTGTAACCTGAGGAAGTCAAGTCAATTTTATACCGAAAACTAGCTCGTAGGTGGACGGAAGAGCCACAGCTGATTAGGTGAACTAGAATCAATCGAGCGCTGGAAAGCACTCACGGGAAGATTTTGAGTAAGCCGTAATTACAGAGCATTTTTGCTAACCTTGCCGATTTGAGGTGACAAAATCGGATCTGTTGAAGACGTTTAACAGATTATTAGACGTGCGTCGAAGGAAAATCCAGAAGAGATAGAAATCAGCCAATATGGGATCACCAAACAGTAAGCTAGATAATTTTTATACACCAGTTTTCGGTCAAATGAAAAAGAATTATGGGCATAAGTGTATGCTAGACATAGAAAAGCTGATCAAATATCATGATTTTCCCGAAGAAGGGACATTGAGTAAAGTAAGACTGAATGTTGTGAGAGAGTCAGTTGAAAAGAACAATGAAAAACAGAATGGTTGTTGTATGTGTGTTCGTCACATGTGTAAAGGATGTGAGCAGACTATAGGTTGTTGGTTAGAAGAGGCTGAAAGACGAGAACGAAAGCAAATGCAGAAAGAATTGGCATGTAGGAATGAAATGAAAAAGGTGGAAGAGAATGTGTGTGAGAAAACAGCTCCACCGGAGCAGAATGCTACTAATGAAAAGTGTGTTTGTGTTTTCCAACATGCACCCGAGATCGGGTCAGCACCGCCGGCTTATAAACATCACTACCCCGTGGCAGAGCTGACAGCCCTGAAACTGGACCACGATCTCGACTGCTCTCCGTTCCAAAGACCAGCACAAAATGCAGCACGAGTAGCAGCACGAGTAGCAGCACAAGCGGCAGCACGAGCAGAAGCAGAAGCGAGAGGAGCGCGAGCAGCGGCAGACGCAGCAGTGCACATGCTACAAGCGCAAGAATTCCCACGAGCACCAATACCGCCAGTACAGCAGGCGGCGGTAAAATCCTCAGCGCTCGCTGCCACAGACAGCGAAGAAGAAAGGGAGGAGGACGAAGAACAGGAAGTTTTCGGGGACGCGTCTGAAATGGTTCCCAGCACAACTGATTCAGAAAGACCGAGCACCAGCAGGCCGAGAGTGACAAGATCAAAGACGATTAAAAGTGGAAAGATCAGCGTCACAGCTCCGAAAGACACAGCGCCGAACATAACAGCTCCGATGGTCGAAGTTGCGGGTCCGGATGGGCCAATGCTGGTTTTTAGAGCTTGGACAGTGTCTGATATGAGAGACGCGATGGCACATCTACCGGATCCGCAGGACGCGGGCGAAAGATTTGCGAAAGAACTGCTTTTACTGTGCCAAGAGTTCAGCCCGACTTCACAAGAACTGAGACGGATGCTGGGTGTGAAAATGGGTCCAGCGAACTGGCATAAGGTGAGCGGAAAACTGGCGACAACGGACGTGAGACGTGTGCACACAGACTGGGACCATGCGAGCAACGAACCATACAGGAAAGAAGTGGAAAATTTCACTAACGCAGTAAGCGCAGCATTTCCTCCGCGTGTGGACACTGAAAAGATTACATGCTGCACTCAGGAGAAGGATGAGTCTGTCAGCAGCTATTATTACAGACTTTTTGAAACATTTGGAAAACACAGCGGCTTGACAGAGCCTACGGACAGAGGGAACAAACCAAGTACGTGGGAAAGCCTTCTATTGGGTTATTTTCTGAAAGGACTGAGACCAGAAATTTCAAGGGGAGCAAAGGCAAGTTACGTGGAGTGGAAGAACGGGCGCTTAACGTCAGCCCTGATGCACGCTATACACGCCGAAGACCAGCTGCAGGAAAAGAAAGACAGAAAACCACTCACAATGGCGGTTGTGCAACGTGAACCAAACAAGCCTGCAACTCAACAAAAGGCGAGAGGAAGAGATGACGGAAGGAAATGGCGGTGCTATGTGTGTGCTACGAACGACCATGCGCTCAGAGACTGTACCAAATGCAGAGTGTGCAGAAGAGACGGGCATTGGAGCAGTGCGTGCCCGAATGTAAGGTCTGATTGAAACGAAAGAGACGGAGAGCAGGACGGAGATGGTCCAGTTCGAGGAGGTCGGTGGCTGACTACGAGAAAGGGAAGTGAACATTTATTTCTAACACGCAAAACACGCACAAACACAAACACATACACTGATTTACTGTCTGCTATCTGCAATGAAGAATCTGCTTGCAAATCTTTGTGTGTTTTGAGCAATGTTGTGAATGATGAAATTTTGAGCAGTGTTTCTGATGAATGTTTAAAACTGTACAAAAGCACAGGGTTTTCTCAAATGCCAAGATACCCAATGATAGTCGAGGGAGTAGTAATTAACTTTTTAGTCGATTCCGGAGCGTGCCAGAGCACTTTACGACCATGTGACTTGCCATGTGTGCCGAAAATGACAGGAAAAGTGTATGAAAGCACTTCGGCTTCAGGCCATTTGATCTCTGAACAATTCACCGAGCCCTTAGAGTGTGAGACGGAGGGGGGTCGAACTCTGAAACACGAGTTTCTCTGGTCGCCCAAATGTCCCGCGCCTCTAATGGCCAGAGATTTAATGTGTGAATTAAATTTGACCCTCAGTGCTGATTCCTATGGAATTAGCATTGAGGAAGCACCACAAATGACATGTTCTAAATTTGAGCCGCAGTGGGCTTACGAATGGCAGATAAAAGATGTTGATTGGGCAGAGATGATTTTGAAATTGGCTAAGGATCGAACAACACCAATCAACACAGAGTTTATGACGCCTGATAAAATGCATTGCACGTCACATGTCGTAGTAGAACGAGACTCAGAGTATGAAGAAACTTGGTTTAGTGGTGTGGAGAATGAAAGTGTGAAATTTGACAAGATTTTCTGCGAGTTTGAATGAACAACAATTGCAGTGTTATTTAATGACAGAAGAGAGTGTTCCCCACCTATCTGTGTCGAAGGTCATAAAGCAGCAGTGGAAGGATTTAGGGCTTTTTGTGAAAAAGTGCCTGCAGGCCACAGACTGGGTTGAAGTTGATACAGACATAGCACAGAGCAAAAGTGTTGGAGCATTTAAATCGAACTACGATTTTGATGTGCAGGTTTTGAGAACTGTGACTGCTGTTGTGAAGAATGATGTGACAAAACATGGGGTGGGGGCTATTTCTGCCTCAGACATTGATATTTCTTTGGCAGAAATACCGTCAAAATTGTGGGCAGAGCACAAGTACGATGTGGGTTTAATTAAGGGATGCGAGCCGGTTGTAATCACCCCCAAATCTGATTACAGACCGTGTCAAGCGCAATACCCCCTCAAACGTGAAGCATTGCAGGGCATAATGCCAGTATTTGATTCTCTGTTGAAGGAGGGAATAATTATACCATGCAATGATTCACCAGTGCGCACACCAATTTTTCCTGTAAAAAAGATTAGAGATAAGGGTCAGCCAACAGAGTGGCGATTTGTGCAGGATTTACAAGCGGTAAATTCAGCTGTCATTGCCAGGGCAGCACGAGTGCCAAACCCTTATACTATTTTGTCACAAATTCCGCAAAATGCAACGTATTTCACTGTGGTGGATTTAGCTAATGCTTTCTTTAGCGTCCCAGTGGAAGAGAAAAGCCAGTTTTGGTTTGCGTTTGATTTCAATGATAAAGGCTACACATTTACAAGATTGTGTCAGGGCTATTGTGAATCCCCAACGATTTATAACGAAGCCCTTCGGAGAAGTATTGAGCCTCTGACTTTGACAGCTGGAACGGCCTTGTTACAATACGTTGATGATTTATTAATCTGTGCCAAAGATAAAACTACCTGCATTGTCGACACTGTGACTCTCCTGAAGCATCTTGAGCAGGGGGGACACAAGGTCAGTCTTTCAAAGCTGCAGTTTGTGAAACAGGAAGTAACCTTCCTGGGGCATGTTATCAAACCAAATAGCAAAGCACTGTCTGAGAAACGGGTGCGGGCCATAAAAGAGGTGCCAAAACCAGTTACAAAGAAACAGATGCTGTCATTCTTGGGGATGTGTGCTTACTGCAGAACATTCATTCCTAATTATGCCATTTTTGAGCAGCCTTTACGAGCCCTAACGACAGGGAAAGGGCTGAGGTCATGTGACAGACTTGTTTGGACAAGCGAGGCTGAGGAAGCATTTGATAACATGAAAGTGCATTAAGGAAAATAAACTTCTTTCCTTAAATATAATTTGATTCCTTGTCTCTTACACTGTGATGCTATTTGTTAATAATTGTTTTTGCCACAACAAGCATAAAAAAGATCTGCAAATTTACAAAGCTCAAAGTCCACCTCAAAAGGAGGTATTTTATTTAACAGAAATCACTTTCAAAAACTACAACGAACGACTCGTTTGGACTACAACGCATATTTTCTGGGATTTGTGATATCACAAATACCGACGAATGGGACGAGACCTGGTTGAGCTGCAAAAGAGAATGTCGGAGACACGCTAGTTTCCCCAAGGCAGATGAACTTAGAGTGGTTATTGATGCAATATTTACACTGAAGCTCGCAGGCGGCTATGGTTAGGGGCATGAAATTTCCCGACCAGGTGCCGAGTGCTGCCAATGACAACACACACTGGCCCAGCTAACCAATCACAGCACATTTCGTATTTCAGAAGGCGGGCCTTCATTTGATACAGGAACTATTCGAGCCATTCACGCCAGACTGAGGAGAGAGGTGTTGTAATAATGTAAATATGTGAAAAATAATGTGTTTTTCGAACAACCTAGTATGAGAGCCTGTTCTAGTACACCCCAAAACAAAATCAAGACTTTGTAAAAGAGCATAACAGGACCCCTTTAAGTGCGTTCTCACAAGTGTGTGACCTTCACCATACTAACCCGTGTGAACTTGGAACACATTTCTTCAGCCTCTTTGATAAGTCCAGCCTTGAGCAAATACTTGGCACACTTGGAGTTGATGAAGCGGTCAGCGGTGTCCAGAGCCTGGGCCTCGTCCATCCAGCGAGCAGCTTCACGGATGTTACCCGCATGCTTTCAAGAGAACAAGGCATGGAAAACAAAATTAATTCTCTCAAGTCTCTCATTTCTTTTACCTCAGGCTGTTTCAACGACCTGTGTGCGTTTACCTTGTATATCTTCGCCTTGATGAGGAAGAGCTCTATGAGGGTGGGGGTGCTTTCAATGGCTGTGTTGATGTATTCGAGGGCAAGAGTCTGTTTGCCGATATGGTTGAAATGCTGGGCAAGGAAATACTGAACCCACAGTAAAGTAGTGGGTGGCTCTGTCTTCCCATCATCTACAAATTCAGCATCACATGTCCACAGTGAGAACTTTGGCACCATTACTGCAACTGCTATCCGTCATTAAAATCTGTTCACATGTACTCACCATTTTGGTTGAACATTTTACAAGCTCTCAAACTTTTTTCATAGCCCACAACTAATTCCTCAATTATTGCTACCTGCAGAAGACAGGAAGATGTTATAAAAAAGGTGTCTTTTCTTATATGTTTAAGTCCAGAAGAAACTTCTACACATTTTCTTGGTCACATCGCCCATCTCACCTTGTCTTTAAGGTGGTAGAGTGATTTTAGTGTGGTAAAGACAGGCGGGCATCCTTTGCTGAAGTTCATCCTCAGGTAGCGATCCAAACACTCTCTAAACTTCTCACCTGGGAGAGCCAAATGCGGTCACATACACAGACACATTATGAGAGCATAACAGCCCTATTGATTTGACAAGACTGGTGCTGACCTGTGAGGAAGTTGAGAGGAAGTCTTCTTGGCACCAAGCCTTTAGGATACTTAACCCAGGCATCTTCATAGATTTTCTGCTTCCCCTCAACACTCTCTGAGAGCAGTATGACATAGTATCAGGGATTAATAGAAATGAAAATCAGCCAAGATTTGTGTCCAGAAAAATTTATATTTACTTGGTTTGAGTGCTTTCTCTAGCCCTTGATAATAGCTCCAGTTCTCAGGGTTTCTCTCCAGCAGTCGGTGGTAGACCTCCGTAGCTTCACCAGCCCGATCTAACTTGAGAAGCAGCTCTCCTACACACATATCAACATACGTTGCTTTAAAGAAACGGCGACAGCAGAGGATAAACAAGTTCATCATGACACAAATAAGGATGTCAACGCAGAAAATATACAATTAATATTAAAATTCTGTTATTTTGTTTAAATAAAAAATTAACTACCGTTCAAAAGTTTCAGGTCAGCAATTCTTTTTGAAAGAAATTAATACTTTTATTAACCACGGACACATGAAAATTGGCGGTACAGACATTAAACATTTTTACAAAAGATTACTATTTCAAATAAATGCTATTCATCTACTCATTTTATCCTACAATTGTACCAGTTTCCACAAAAATATTCAGCAGCACAACTGTTTTCAATATTAATAATTAAGGGTGCTCCGATCAGGATTTTTGGGCAGATCACCGATTGTCGATCACAGGAAGCAGTATCTGCCGATACCGATCTTTTTAAAGCCTTCTTTTTATCATTTAGAGTTATTTATAGTGATGCTCCAGTCAGGATTTTTTTAGACATTCATTCAGGGCCTGAATTTCATTTTTGAAAATGGGGGGAATTCCCCTCTTAGGTGACTCTTGTGGAGGGGGGCATTTTTTTTTTTTTACATTTTTCAAAAATAGGGTAAACGTACCTATTAAGCTCACATACCCATTAAGCACACTTCCATTTTTGAGCTCAGATTATAAAAAGAAAAAATAATGCATTATCCTACACAATGTCTTAACCAATTGATGTGTTTTGTACCACATAGGCCTATATAATTATCTCACCTAAATGTTTGATCATGCAGTGCATTTTTGTTTTTACAATGGGGCAATTGTTGCACAATAGCTTACACACAGCACAAGCCAGATTTCGTGAGCTGTATGTGAGGCAGCCTCATGCCAAGTTCACACATACTCCGTTTGCAGTGCGCATGCAGTCCATTTGCAGTATGTAAGCGGTGCAGAAGCAGCACGGACACATACTGTGCTTTCACACAGAGGTCCGCTACTGATCCGTGGCTGTTTACCACAAACACAACATTTATCCTTTTTGATTTCAAATCCAAACGTTGTTACTGAAAATGCTTTTTGAGCATTGTGATTCTGTTTTTATGCAGTACAGTAATACAATCTTTCATAGACGTGTTTAAAGGGGTTCTATTATGCTTTTTCACTTTTTCAACTTTAGTTAGTCTGTAATGTTGCTGTTTGAGCATAAAAAAGATCTGCAAAGTTACAAAACTCAAAGTCCAATTCAAAGGGAGATATTTTATTTAACAGAAATTTTTCAAAAACTACAACGAACGACTCGTTTGGACTACAACGCATATTTTCCGGGATTTATGATATCACAAATATCGACGAATGGGACGAGACCTGGTTGAGCTGCACTAAAGAAGGCAACGAGTGTTATCACTATGTCGGAGACACGCTAGCTTTCCCAAGGCAGACGAACTTAGAGTGGTTACAATCATCCGGGTTTAAATCGAGCTCAAATTGATTTGATTTTGACGCAATATTTACACTGAAGCTCGCAGCAGGCGATGGTAAGGGGCATGACATTTCCAGACCAGGCGCCGAGTGCTGCCAATCACAACACACACTGGCCCAGCTAACCAATCACAACACACACTGGCCCAGCTAACCAATCACAACACACACTGGCCCAGCTAACCAATCACAACACACACTGGCCCAGCTAACCAATCACAACACACACTGGCCCAGCTAACCAATCACAACACACACTGGCCCAGCTAACCAATCACAACACACACTGGCCCAGCTAACCAATCACAACACACACTGGCCCAGCTAACCAATCACAACACACACTGGCCCAGCTAACCAATCACAACACACACTGGCCCAGCTAACCAATCACAACACACACTGGCCCAGCTAACCAATCACAACACACACTGGCCCAGCTAACCAATCACAACACACACTGGCCCAGCTAACCAATCACAACACACACTGGCCCAGCTAACCAATCACAGCACACACCGGCCCAGCTAACCAATCACAGCACACACCGGCCCAGCTAACCAATCACA